TAGGTTTTCTTTATATGAATCCGCCAACGTAATTTTGATATTTTTTCCCATAGATTCTGCCAAATATCCAAATCAATACTATAACCAAAGCATTTACTCCAGGTTATCATAATCTCCTTTATTTGTTCTTCAAGCATGTCTTGTTCTAATAAATAGTGGTATAGTTTCTTTATAGCCTTTCCCTCCATATTTAATTGAATTTTATCCAATTCTATTTGTGCTATTTTTATACCCCATTCCTTTTTGTCCTTCATAAATTTAGATTGTATTTGTAAATAAACCCACCATTCTAATTCGATTCCTTCTTCCTTTAAATTATTTCTTGAATTCAATTCTCCTTTCTCATTTAATAATTCTTTATATGTAACTACCCTTCCTACTTTAATAAGATTTGGATGTGTGAACATTTCTACTATTGATATCCAATTGGGGATTTCTATATAATTACTTCTTTTAGTCTTGATCCAAGTATCTAAGAGTACCTTCCTGATGTAATGCCTTTGGAAGCACTGGTGAACTTTATACTTCTCCTCCCAGAGGATAGCGTGCCAGCCTATTTGAAGGTCATGTCCTTCTAATGCCAATAATCTTCTTTTTTTAAGATGTAACCAATCGCTTACCCATACGAAAATTGCTGCTTACTGATAATTTTCCCAATCGGGAAGGCCAAATCCCCCTCTTTCTTTTGCATCTTGTCATAATTTTAATTTAATACTTGGTTCTTTGCCCTGCCATATAAATTTTGATATAATTCTATTTAAATTTGTAAAGAATTCTTTTTTTAAGCTGATTTGGTATACATTGAAATAAAAATAATATTTTAGGTAAAACAGTCATCTTAATAGTGGCAATCCTCCCATCAAAGAAAGTTGTAGTTTTTTCCATCTTTCTAAATCAGTTTTAATTTGTTCAATTAATTTATCATAATTCTCTTCTTTGAGCATAACACATCTTGGAGTCAATTGAATTCCTAGGTATCTATTTTATTTTACTATCTGAATATCAATTTTTCCCTCTAACTCTTTTTTTTCCTCTTCCGTCATGTTTTATCTTTGTTTATCTTTAGGCCTGCTACCGCCCCATATTCCTCCAGTACTTCCTTCATCCGTATACCAGACTGCATGGACTCTTCAATAATAAAGACAAGATCGTCCGCAAACACCTGCACTTTAAAAATTTCATTTCTAATCTTTAAACCACTCATTTGATCATCTTCTCGAATTACTCTCTTCAAAATTTCTAATGATAAAATAAACAGTAGCAGCGATAGAGGACAACTTTGTCTCATACATTTTGGATTTGAAAATTCTTCATTGTTTCCCCATTGATTACCACTTTAGCCTCTTGTTCAGAATAAATTGCTCTACACATCCTTACAAACTCTCCCCCAAATTCCATATAATTTAATTGATTTAATATAAATTCCCATTTGACATTGTCAAGCACTTTCTGTGCATCAGCAAATATTAATACTATCTGCTTCTCATTGTGAAGCTCATTGTATTCTATGATGTCTAACATGATCCTAATATTATTCCTTATATATCGTCTGAGCAGAAAATCATTTTGATCAGAATGGATAAAAATTTCTAAGAATTTCTTTAATCTTTCAGCCATAATTGTCATAAAAATTTTATAATCCGAACTCTATAGAGATATCAGTCTGTAATTTTTAATAAACATCAGGTCAGAATTTTCCTTCAGAACCAAAGTAATTTTTGCTTCTTTCCACGAAGCTGGGATCTTTGCTTTATTTAAAACTTCATTATATATCTCTAACAATATTGGACTTAATATCTCCTGATGATTTTTATAAATGTCTGACGGCAATTCATCGGGGCCTGGTGTTTTATTAGCTTTTTGTTTCTTAATTGTCTCCAATAATTTTCAATTATGTTATATCTTTATTTAACATCTCCTTGCATTCTACTGATACTTTAGGCAGTCCCATTTCCTGAAGATATTGCCATATCTTATTTTCATCTATCTTTTCCTTATCTTCATACAAATTTTTGAAAAACTCATAGGCTACACTTCTCTTCCCTTCATTTTGATGTATTAATTTGCCCTCGTCATTGTGTAATTTATTGATCCATCTTGTATCCCTCTGTTTCGGTAATCTATATACTAGCCACCACCCCTGCTTATTTGCGGTTTCAAAAAAAAAATGTTTGATACTTTTTATTTGCTGGGCCAAACTCTCCTTCTCAATAATATTTAATTTATGTTTAGTGACATCTATTTGTTGTTTCAACTCTTGTTTTTGTAGTTCCTTTTGTAAATCCTTCTCCAATCTACTAAGTTCCTCTTCTAAACTTTTCCATCTTTGCCTTTTTTGTTTATTTTCTTTGGCCATATGAGCTATTGCAATTCCTCTCAAAAAGGCTTTTGCAGTGTCCCATAAATTTTGTTTATTCGAGTGTCTCATAAATTATTTGGTTATAATTCCTTTTTATTGTCTTGAAAAAATAAGCACATGTGTTCATCCATTTTCAATTTAAACTCATTCTGATTCAAAATTGCTTTTTTTAAAGTCCATCTCTTTATCTTCTTTTGTCCTTTCCATGTAATTCCAATCAGGTTATGGTCATGAGTAGATGTCGATTTTAATTTCCTCAATTTCCGAATCCAATTCTGTTGATACCCATGCCATATCAATCCTGGACCATGTATTATGTCTGCCCGAATAGTATGTATATTGTTTTTCTTTTCCATTCCTTTCTCTCCAGCTATCTTTAATACACAACTCCTCCACTATTTTAAAGAATGTGTTGGGCAGAATCCTTCTAATAGTTTTCCTTCTTTTATCACTCGTATGATCTAATTCTCTCTCTACTATTGCATTGAAATCCCCAACTATACAGATATGTCCATATTCTAATTCTCCAATCATATTATGTAATTTCTTATAAAATACTGTTTGGACTTCATTCAGTGCATATAGTCCCACCAAAGTCACTTTCTTCTCATTTAAAGTTATCTCTATTATTAGAATTCTACCCTCCTCATCCTTACAGATCTGCTTGGCTGGAATTCCTTCCTTAATGTATATCATAATTCCCCCTTTTTTCTGTTGAGATAGAACTGTAGACATATTCCCGAGCTTAGAACATTTTAGTACTTGTTGATGTGACCTCTTTATGTGTGTTTCCTGTAATACTATTATATCTAAGTGCATCGTACTCAATTTGTTGAAAAAGTTTTTCCTCTTTGTGGGAGCATTTAAGCCATTAACATTTAAGGATAAAAGCATTATTTCTTCTTGTGCCTCTCTACTTCTGTCTGGATCTTGTCGCCCTTGTCTGTCTGACTTCTTTATATTCTTTGTGTTTGCCTTCATCATATTTTTCTGTATCTATCTTTTCTTCCTTTCCGTTTCCTCTTTCTTTTATTAGGGCTTCTGTTACTTCTAATGTCTGTTCTGTTGGTTCACATTCTTCTCTTGATTCTCTTTCCTCTACTTCGTCATCACTGCCAAAATTTTGCCTATTAAATTCTTCCACCTGGTCTATCGTGTCCAGTTGAAATCTTTTCTCCTGCCATACTGCCATGATCCATTCTGGTATCAACCATCAGAAGTTAATATTTAATCATGTTAATTTAGAGGTTAATATTTGATAGGGTCATCTTAGTTCTCTCACTCTCCTAGATACTTGTTTGAGTACCACCAGCTGTCTCCCTCTGTATTCCAATGGGTCGTCTCTCATTCTATGTACAATTTTGTCACAGATCAACTTCTTTACAAACCTAATATGTACTTCTTTAGGTAAATTGTGTCTCCTCGCATAATTGGTATGGATTCGATATATTTCATCAATTTCATTCACCATTTCCTCTTTACCAATTCCTAGAGCTCCTGCCAACACATCTGCCATCATTTCTGGTAAATCCTCATCTTCTTTCACATTCTGGAATCGTAGGTAGTGGATTGCCTTTTCTGGTTCTAACTGGATAACTATCATTTCCAGTTCTTTATTAGCTTGCATTAATTTTCCACTCATTTCAGCCACACGTTTTTCTTCCCATCCCATTCTTTCTTCTATCTCTTCTAATTTTTGCTCATTTTTCACAATTTGTTATTGGAAGCATTCAAATTTACCATCTATCAATTTCATCTTTTCTTTAAGCTCTCCAGTATCACTTCTCACTTCTCCTATCTCTGTTTTCAAGTCTTCATGGTTCTTCAGCATTACCTCTAGCATGGATTGTAACATTAACTGTAGGTCCTTAAATGAATTTGAACTTATTTACAGACCTCTTATTTCCCTCCAACACACCCTAAATATCATTTAGCTTATTCTTTTCCTACTTATCACCAAATCTATATTCTTATTCTTATATCTATTTTACTCACTCTTAGCACACTAAGCTCAATAACTTATAATATCTAAATATTTATGTCAATCTACAGTTCAAAATTATCAATCCAAAACATCAATCAGCATCCAAAATTCATTAACATTAGCATGTATCAGTCATTATATTATTGCATTAATAATATCAATAATATCAATAATTAATGAGAGTAGTAATAAAAACAATTTTCAACCAATTTCCTCTATATATTTAAATACTAAACTACAAAGCTATAAATACTACCATATCCACAATTATTTCAATCTCTCTATAATTTATAAATTAATTAGTAACAAATTATTTCCCATGTTTTTCTCCTGCTTTCTTAAATATAGTTTTCCAAGTCTTTTTTACAGTACCCTTTTCCTCTTCTATAGGATTTTCTAGTTCCTTCTTAGCTGGACAAATCTACCTTGCCTCCTTTTGTATTACTCAGCACTACTCAGCATTTAGTCTCTCTTCACAATGTCAGAATCCTCTGATTTGTCAGCATTTCATTTTCAGTCTCCACCTTCAGATTGTCTATTTCCTTGATTCCAAATTATAAGCAAAGAAAAAAAAACCTCCTTGATCCTTCCCCTTCACTCCACCAATATGATCTGTCAAGATGCAGTAATTCCTTTTACAGCCAAACTTGCCTTTTGCCACTATCGTTTGGAGGGAGCTCCAGTCACCCTCCTCCTTCCTGGGGCCTCTTTCTTTTTCTTCCCTCTTTAGAAATCCTCCGGATAGATCTCTCACTCTGGATCACTCCTACGAAGCTGCCAAAATCTCTTTAAACCAGATCAGTCTCACTGTCGTCCCGCTTTTCCACCGGCTATTGTTGTCCAGCCATCCACTGTCACTTCCTTGCGGCTGCCATTACAGGACATCTCCTTCCCCTGATCAGCTTCTCCGAGGCTTTTCTGCCACTCGCTTCTTTGACCGCCGCCAAGAGCTCCACCACAGAATGCCTCTTTCTTCCAATCCCCCTCCAAGGGATCTGGGACTCCACAAAGTCCACCGATCAGTTGGAATTTGCTGAAAAAACAACTCTCTATAACAGAGCGTCGCTTTCCACAACTTTCCTTCTTGACAGCTGGCCCCACCTCCTCAACAATTCTCTAAGTTTCAAAGAACTCAGATGTTCCTAGAAATATAAATGTGGAAGGACAGATAAAAAATAAAAAGCAGTATTTTCTCTGGCAATAGCAGAACCTGTCCAATATGCCATAATTTGCCAATCCCTATCAAGGTCTTTCTCAGTTTTCGTTTTGATAAGAAATTATGCAGTTTGAAAATAAACAAAGATCAGTTGAAATTCATTCAGTCCTCTAACTTTCACTTTAATGAAAATTGCTCTAGATCAGAGGTGTCAAACTCACATAGTCATGGCGATGTCATGTGATATATTAGGACTTTTTTCTGCTTTTCTAAAATGGGCATGGGCGTGGCCAGCAAATGATGCATCTGGCCCATGGGCCATGACTCCTGCTCTAGATGAATCCACTTCCTCAAGGCCTGTCTTTTCTTTTGTGTCACCCACCTTCCTGAGTGGAGATGGTCCCCTCCGGACAAGGAACACAGTCATAACAGCAAAATGGCTCTCCTTCTCGCTTCTGCTTGACAAATCCAGGATGACATTTTTCCACACATTTGGACTGAGGAAGAGACTAAATAGAAAAACAATAAATTCCAAAGAAAATATGATAGCACTAACCACCCTGACATGCTGACATGCTCTTGAAATAAGAGCAAAAGTGACTGCTCAGTTTCTAGAACAATAGTGATATGAGATAGAGGTGAGGTTATAAGAATGTATCCCTCAAAAAGTGTAAATTAGGAATCTTTGGTTGCAGCAAATATGAGCCATGTGTGGCTCAGCTAGGGATCCTTTCTCTTGAAGAACTACAATTAGGTAACAACAACTGGCTTGAAAGAGCAAACCCAGATTTGTTATTAGTTAAATTTGGAGCCTCCTTTCTTTCGAGAATGACTTAAGATAACTAACAATGAAGATGAACGTTGCATTCAAGTGGTTTTTAGATGAGGTACCCTCTTACAAGCCAAAGCCCAAATCTAAGCAGCATTACTTTTTCAATTGTCTTTTATTATTTCAGATATCAGAAAGGCTTTTCTTTGAGTCAAAATCATGTTCCAAATGCTTCAGTTTTATGGGTCAGGACATTATTTCTCCTCAGTCCAGTCATTCTGATTCCATGTGAACAAAAATTCTTGGACCTTCTTCATAGGAGCAGAAGGCCTATTTCACTGCCCCAGTATGGTAAAAGATTAGAATGGATATCTCTGGCCAGGTCTGGGTTTCTTAAAAATTTCTTGCCCTGCCTTTTTATGGGATACTGGCCCCAACAAGGACAAGGTGAATCTAATTCCAAATTTTATTTCCCACTGGAACCAAAAGGATCTCCATCCAGTCTTGATCTCAACCCTGAAGCTGACCTGGCTGTGGCCATTTTGAGGTTTCAGTGCTGCCACAACTAGAGCTATGGGAAAGGGAGGGAGAAGTAGAGATAGCTGGGGTGCTGTAACCAAAATAAAATACTTTCTCTTGGGAACCAAGGACATTCCCACCAGGTGTCCAGAAGGAGGGGACTAGAGTAACCTAGCAACTAGACTGCATCCTGGTTGGACCATGTGACTGATTGTTTGGAGAAAGTGAAAGAACTTTTACTTTTAATTAGGTAAAAACCATGGGAACATTTAGAGGCGATTTTCATCAGCTTGTGCCAATATGACATATTGGATAAACCTATTATTTGAGGAATCCAACTGCCTCGGAATTTTGATTGCTATGGGTGTGTTACTTGGAACCCTGACACTTGATTCAATGTTCAGTGCAAACCTGAACTCAGGCACTGGTCAATTAATTTACCTTCTTGTTTGCTATTTGAAGACAAAGAATAAGTGAATCACAATCCCTAGCATTTGACCTATCTTACCATTTTCATGCAGCTTCTCCATTTCAACACTGAACCATGGTGCATAGGCTTAGCCCAAAGAAACAGATCGGAACTCTTTGGAAAATAGAAAAGACACCAATATTTCTCCTACCCTGTTGTGCAACTTTAGCCATGACAGGTGATCTTGGTTGATAGTAAGTCCCTGTCTTTCAATAGTCACCAATTGGTCTTTCATGAGATTCTTTTTGGGGAGATATACCCAACTCATGATCTTCATATCTGCCTTTAAATCCCCATTTTGATCCAAGTAAAGTTTGTAATGGGAAAGATTGCAAAATTCATTCTTCTCCAGAAAGGGATGGAACTAGAATGGGAACATCAAGCAATTTCAACATCAATAAACATTGTAACTTATTCCTTTTTGTCTGTTCTCATTTGAATCTTTTTTCTACACTTGTAAATATTCTTAGGAGAACAAGTTTCTGTCTTTAAAAATGAAAAAGAAAGGTTCAGCAAAATTTGGCAATCACGTATTGACAATACATGTTTTGAAAACAATATGATTGAAAAATTTTGTCGATTATAAGAAACATTCTAAAGCAGGTCATAAATAAATTGCACAAAGAAAAAGAACATTCATGAACTCCTTGAAAACAACAGGTGATTACGAGAAAACATGGATTCATCAAGAAGAAAGTTGCCAGGCTAAACTCCTCCTAGGTACTCCAGATTATAAACATATCCAGATGAGATAATCCATCTGTCTGTCTGTCTGCTATCTATCTATCTATCTATCTATCTATCTATCTATCTATCTATCTATCTATCTATCTATCTATCTATCTTTCTATCTTAAGGCTCAGCTAGGTATCCAAGACAAGGTTCTTTCTATTGAAGAACTGAAATTAGTTAACAAACTCTGGTATGGAAGAACAAACTCATGTTTGTTATTAGTTGGATTTGGAGCCTCTTTGTTTCCACAGAATGACTTAAGGTAGCTAACAATAAATTAGAAGTAGTAGTATTTTTTATTTTATTTGATAATAATCATATAATAAAATTAATGAAAATGTCATTAATGATTTCGACGAAATGGAATTGCATGGCTACTGGTGGTAACTGATAGGAAACTGGGTATCTAAATGTCTAAATTAGAACCAGACATAAAATGAAAATACATCTTCATGATTTATCATAATAGGTTAAAAAAAAAAACTGAATGGAATTTAAGAGAAATTAGAAAATAGAAAGTCTTCCACATAGAAGAAAAGTGAAATGTAGAGCAAGAATGATGAATGATACCAAACTTGATAAAAAAAAATAACGTGAAAATGATCCCAAAATAGTAGTCGATTTGCAAACTAAATGTGAATCAGCAGTGTGATGTTAATGGAAAAAAAGAAAATGCCTCCATAAATATCTCAGGAAATGAATATTGATTTGGCGGGAGAGACCCCCAACTGCCCCTTGCAGGCACCATGTTGCATATTGAATAGAGTGTTGCATATTGAATAGGAGTGAGCATAGGCTTCACTCAGGTCCCCCAATCCGGCGGGAAAATACTCAAACCCCATTGGCCAATCTGTCTGACAGTTGTTCTGCCCCAGCTCCAGATTTCCCAGGATATTGACACACACCAATGGTCCTTATCAAATTTATTAAGTAGCAAGAATAAACAAGACCGGCAAAGATTGGCAACCAGCCCAGAAAGCAAGATATGATAAACCAAAATACTCTAATTATAAATACGAGTTGTTTCCAGCAAAAAAGCACTAGCTGCGTGTGACTTAAACAGGCTAAGGGAGTGGCCAATTATCCTCAAGCCCTACTCTTGAGTAGACCTCCTTCTCCTGAGTAGCCACTCCTGCCTTTTGGCAGCCCAATGTGCTCGAGCATTGAGGAGAGGCTCCTCTACTTCATTCTCTCCACTTGAAGGAACCTCTGGAGGTTCTGAAGGCCCTGGCTGAGTCTCTGCCTCTGGCACCACATCCTCTTCAGCCTCTTCGCTGTCTGACGTGAGCGCTGGCTGTGGAGGCTGCTGGTGTGACACCACACCAGCCTCCTCTTCATCGGGATCAGCCACGATCCGCGCAGGCCACTGGTGGGCCACAACAACAGTTCCCTATAAAAGGGCAAGCAGTCAGACAAACCAGCTGCTGGATTGCATTGATCTACTAATAAAGAGCTGTTGTTACTGTTAGCACTTAGTCCTGTCTCTTCCATCGCCCGATCTAACACACCACACTTGGAAAAAAAATATTGCTGAAAAACTGGATTGGCTATAGGAAAAGTAATGAAATCAAGTAGGAGCTGCTTTTACCTTCATTTATGAACGTAAAGTTTTATAATGCTAATCACAAACCTATACATATAGGAATCTATTTAAAATGCATGCATCATTTAAAAATTAACAATGTTTAATATCAAACTATATCTTTCATAATTCCCATTTTTGGGAACATTATTGTCTGAGTGATTAAATTGGCCAAACTTGTTGGAGTTCTGTAACACATATAGGTTGATACAGTTCTCCTCCTTCGGAAAATTCCAAAGGAACTAAGTTTGGGGGATCTTTGTTGGGACCCCATACCTGCCATGGCTGAAACCTTGGAGCCCCCAAACTCCCTTTGCCCTGTTTCTTTCTCCTCCTAGATCTGGAGGAATAGGCATCATTCAAGGCATAGGCCAGAGTATTAATGGCACTGTAATAACGATGGAAATTCATGGCCTCCACCGTATTCTGTTTCTTTTGGGTCTCCAGTGGTGATTTCTCAATGCATCTTTTCCGGCCTTTGACAGAAAAGACATGTTTTGAAGAAGAACAGACAAATGATTCATGTCCAAAGGGTGGATCCAGAAAGAAGGTGGGTATAAAAGAATCCTTTATTGGCTCTTTTTTAATCTCAAAATCAACAGTACAAATATTATTTACATGTTTGAGACCTCTGGAGTCTCTTAGTGGATACAATCCATTGAGTGTTGTGATCCAGACTTTTCCTTCAATGGGTCCCGGCAAACGCCTAAGTATAAAACGAAAAGGAAGAATCCTCTCAACAATGGCACCATATTCTATGTAGTGAACATAGACATTGACTTGTCTCCACTTAGAGAAGGCATCACCATGAGGTGCTGTAAATTGAGTTGTTGAGAATTGTTGTGATATAACAACACAAATTCCATTCCTGATAAGCATAGGAGTAAAAGTCCTCATGAAATTATCTCCATTTTCTGAATCTGAAGCAAAGAGACCAATCAAGGTCCATCTGAAATGAAGGAGCACTTGGACAATTCCTAGATAGAGGATCCCTTTTTTTGGGAAAAGCCGGTGATAAAATGGCAATTCACTTTTATCATGTAGTAAATCTGAAAATAATTCAAAACTGATCTGAAAAAGCAATGAAGAATACTGGGTTACATTTCAGGTCAGATCATTTTCAAAATATTAACTTGAAAGTAATCCAGATTGGTTCACTTAAACATATTCAAGAAGTTTATTGTTGATTAGTCATTAAGCCATATGAAAATAAAGAAAAAAAAGAATAGCATTAACAAAACAGTATATAACAATAGTGTAAAAAAATTGGTAAAAAAATAAGAATAGAGAATGCAAATCATATTTCTGTGTGATACCTACAACTTATGGCAATCAGACCAATGTTCACATGTCAATTGAAATGTTTTGTTCAAATAAAGAGCCATATTGACTGTTCTTCTTTAATATTGACTAAACGAAAAAAAATGTTGTTTTAATATAAGGATCCCAATAGGTTGTTAGTCTAATCTAGGGTCCAAGATATTGATCTCTTTTATAACTGACTTTGAAATAATAGATGTGTTTTGTCTATCTCTGGAGTTCGGCAAATTCAAGTCTATTCATTATAAGTGACTTGATTAAACCTTCCATATTTAACCATTGTGTCCAGTACTGAAATATTGCTTGTGTAAATATCACCTTAAGATGTTTAGGCATTTCTGCATTGAAACACTTGCCAATTTGAAAGTACATTTGTAGTGGCCCATGAGTATGGTTGCATCTTTCTTTGATTCGATATCAGAATTCTTTGTACAGCAATTTTTTTAGCGAGTTTTCCGTTTACACAAGAATGAGAAAGATCACATGTAAAAATCCCTAACCATAACACCTAGAATAGCCATGGTGAAAAGCAGTTCTTCAATTCCAAAATGAAAATATGGTTTGTCACAAGTAAATGCCTTATTCTCAAATGGGGAAAATGTACATACACAGGGTATCAAGGGTTAATTTATTCTTCCTTCCTTAATATATTCATATGTAACCACTCCCATCCTTTACTCCGCCTCATTGATATAAAAGGGGATGTATGCACCTCCTTCCTTGCTTCTATCTACGATCATTCAGAGAATATAGAATGCCTAATGTAAATAAATAGTGCTTTGTTTAAATACTTTGTTCCTGAATCATTTATTGAGTCTGATCCTCAAAAATATGCAACAATCTGGTAGCAGAGGATGGTTCGACTGACTCAATAAAAATTAGATATGCCTAAGAGAGAAGACTCCAGAAACAAAAGAAAAAGACCCAACACCAGGGCACACAATAAAGAGATGGAAATGGATCAAGAAATGATCGATGAATCCACAACTATAATAACAAAAGAATCTGAAGACTGCGCTACAGACAACGAAGAGATAATCGATGAAACTGATGACCAAGAAGAAAATGAGATAGAAAACAACGAACTCAGATCAGAGATACTGAGACTATTGAAATGCCAAAAAGATGACGAAAACCTCATCGCGAACCTCCAAGACATCATAAAAAACAGCGGAGCAGCGAGAGAAAAACACATCATAACAGATGAATCTAAAGAACTAAAAATGGTGAGCGAATTGCCTATAGATAAGAATATAATGAAAAGAAGACTAACGGTCCCGCACAAAATTTTGAATGGCAGCCATCTTGGTTTAAACAGACCACTAAGATGAGCGAAGCAGAGCCAATCAGAAAACAGAATTCAAAATGTCTGGCGTGAAAAGCCCTACATAGTATAAAAAGGAAAAAAGGAAAAATCTACTCTTCCGAAGAATCTGATACAGACTTCGAAGAAACTTCAATCGAACTACAAATAGAATCAGCAATGAAAACTCTCTTTGCAACATTCGGCCTGAATTTAAAAATCACAAAAGAACCAACGAAAGCTGGCGATCAAAGAATAAAGAAAAGGCAAGCAAGCAAGCAAACGTCTCGGAATCTACCCGCTTCTATCCAAACGGCGAGAGCACCTACGCCTGAGCCCAGAGAACCCTGTAAATACTCCCCCACACCGCAGACGATTCCAGGGGCCAGAGACCTCAACAAAAACAACTTCAGCGAAAAGAAG